AAACCTTGGTTTATATATTTATTCACCCAAACTTAGTTGGTGTATCAATGTTATACCCAACAAGCATCTCCTGTTTATTCACCTCCAAGACATCCGCCAACAGTTCTGCCATTATCTCAGCAAGGTTTCCCCCTTTTTCTTCCTCAATGTTCTGGAATCTCAAGAAATATTCAGCTTGATCTCTCTCCAAAGTCATTATTGTTCTCCATATTTTTGTCTGCCTGTGTGAGCTTATGATTCATCTCTTCCACTTTTTTCTGTTTGTTCTGATTTCGCTTATACTTTCTGAATTTGTTGTTCATTTTTAATTATTATTTGTTGAATAATCTCCATTTTATCATCCATCTTTTCCATTCTTTCCTTCATATCTTCAAAAAATGTTTGTTGTGGCTTCTTGCAATAATTGGAGCATTGATTTCATTTCTGCCTACATCGTATTCATTTTTTATTCTGTTACAATACGCTATCCGATGATTTTGGACTTGCTGGATTAGATGCTGATACTGCTGATGGTGCAGAAGCATTTCTCCCCCCTCCCCCCAATTTACTTAAATTGAAGTATTTGTCATTTTGGATGGTCTTAGATAATTTAAGGGATTTAAAAGATATAATAATAACACAAATATTATACCAACATTTCCACAGTCCCCAACCAACTTCCCACTTTTAAAAAGTATTCTCAAAAATTAACAATCACAAGATCCCTTTTTCTTTCTCCCCTCTTGTTCTCAATCTCCAAGAAATTTCACACTTTCTGTTATTGTACTCCAAAAAACAGGTTGCTTGTTAGTCCCCAAGTTCTTCAAAAACTGTTCTTTTGATAATTTGTAATCCATATAAGCCCACCAAGCCCCAGAGTTCAACCACAAAGACTCATAGATCACCAAAAGCTCTGAGAGTTCAGAAAGGAAAAAAATAGTTCCCTGCTATTTCCCAGCTTCTGTTTGCGTTGTCTGTTTAGCTTCCATATAAGTTCGAAGAGCTACACTGTTTAAAAAGTTACAGTGTTTCACTCTCTGTCTCTGCTATCCTGTATAAACAATTTGTCGGTGCAGGTGTTATTTGTAGCAAACAAGGCCATCCTTTCACTCACTTTCACTTCTCAGTGTTTTTCTCCACCTGTTAGATGTCGCTGTTCCTCTATTTCTCTACTTTCCCTCTCTCATTGTCTTTCCAATCCAAAACTTTTTTAAAATTCCAGGGGTCAGGATTTCATATTACAAAAATTTTCAACTTAGTATTGTTAAAATTTCCAGTCCGACTGTCCTGCCTTCAAACTTCTTTCTCTTTTCTGAAAAGTTCTCTTTTCCCTATTTGGAAACATAGATAGCGCTCAGGCTTGCTCGTTGCTTTTTTTTGGGGGGGGGGGGTGGAAAACAAACAATCCCACTCTCTCTTTGAGTCCCACTTTCACCTAGGCTAGCTTTAAGGGAGAAAGTTCCTCAACAGAAATTGGAAAAATCTCACCCAGATTGACCACACTGTTCCTCAGTCTTTTATGGTTGCTTCATCAGTTGGCTGTCACAGCTTTGGTCAGGCACACAATGGCCATCTTTTTTTTCCCGCTGGATTGAGAACTTACTCCAGATCAAACGAGTTTGTGGTCTCCTTGTGATCGATGTAGTGTCCTCTCTGTCTTCATCACCACTCCAGTGTGACTTGGGTCCCTCAGAATCTCCTGGGAGGTCAAATTTGGTGTGATTCCACAGAGCTCCATAGAGATGTGCCATAACACTGGGATGTCAGCCTCAAGTCCACTGCATTCCTTTTGTTGACCTTGTTCTTGATTGGTACTCCTCTCATCAGGCCGACTCTACTTCAAACCCAATCCCTCCCAAACCACCCACATTCCAATTCCTTCCACCATTGCTTTGTCAGGCTGGCAACATGTGAAGCAGCAGCAGCAGAATGGCAGCTATGACACAGTTAGCACATCCTTGTTTATTTTCTTGAAAAGAAGACTACTTAGAATGAAAATTCTGAATGTATACATTATGCTTGTAGATCCATTAGGTTAATCTTTGTATTAATTCATGGTTAGCTGGTTTTCCCCCATTTAAAGATTTTTGGAATTAATTGTGACCAAAATATTGACTGGATAAAGTGTTAGAACTGGAGTCTTAAATCCCAAAGTAGTTTGTTCGCTGTCTACCTCTACCCGCTGTCTACCTCTGCTTCTGCTTCAGTGTGCCTGCAAACTAAGAAGGAAAGTGTAGCATTTGTGGAGCCTCTGTGGCACAGTGCAGTACTGCAAGCTACTTCTGCTGCAGCCAGCTGCCTACAATTCAAATCCCACCAGGCTCAAGGTTGACTCAGCCTTCCATCCTTCCGAGGTGGGTAAAATGAGGACCCAAATTGTTGGGGGAAATATGCTGACTCTGTAAAGTGCTTAGAGAGGGCTGTAAAGCACTAGTGCTATTGCTATAATATAACTGTGCAATGCGTTAGATCTGAAATAGCTATATTTTTTCCCAGGATTGTGCAGCTGCCAGCACAATACCAGAAAAATGCGTGCTTGGTTTAAGAAGTTGCAGACATGTATTATATATGTGTACTGACAGACAGCTTTCAGTCTTTGTGGAAAGTTCACAACCATATAATAAAGTCTAGCTTTCTCAATTGGTGCAAATGAGCTGGAGGAAAAATCAACTGAAATATTTATTTTTTTCCAGACATTTTCTGGTCCATAGACAATATATGGCTTTCCCTTTATTTGGGAGCCAAGATTTTAGTCATCCTACCCTAACCAGAACTAATCATTAATTTATGTTTTTGTTCCTAGGATACCTTTGATATTAGGATTCTAATGGCCAAATCTGTTAAATACACCGTAAACTTCTTAGATGCCAAAGAAGCAGATTTGCACAGGTAATCTTTTCTCCAAAAAATTCAACTCTGTGATCCCACTGTGATTCCAACTTGGAGAACTTATATTTCCTTTAGAAATGTTATGTTTGTTGTATATTAATAAGACTTGTTTGCAATTAGATATCAAAATATCAACCATCATAATTATGGTCGATAATTTTCTATAGTAGATTGGCAAACTTTTGCAGCTACCTTTTGATCTTACTTGGTGATATAACTCTCCTTGTTCCATGTACTTCCCATTCGGAAGATGAGCCTTCATGGGCTTATAGTTTGGGAAATTGGCATGAAGAGTAGTCTAAACCTCCTCTTTCATTATTTTAGAGTTGGTAGAACTCTAAACCCTGAAACATTTTCAATGGTGATCCAGAACTGACATAATATAGACCATGCTTCTGGTTAGCTTCTTTGCTTATACTGGGGGTATGGATTTTTGCCCTGGTGAAGGAATAAAACTCTTATAGTGTCTATATCAAGCATACTTTGTTTGTGGGAAGCTAAGACTTATTTGCTCAGTATCTTGGGGGAATAGGTTTTGAGTAAACTGGAAAAATCATCATGCTGGATTATTTGAATTGTTGTGGATTAGGTGCTGATGGGGTCATTTTCAATGCTTGTCTGCTGATTTTTGTCATTTCTTATAAAATCTAAAAATAGTCCATTCCCTAAATAAGACCCATGTCGTTTAGCTAATGCCTGTTCTCAATCCAAGTATCTTTCTTTTGGACTCAAAGCTGGAACCTAGTTGATAATTCTGAGATATCAGCATAGATAAACATTTAACATAGAATTATTGTACATATTTGTTTTGAGGATCTTTTTATCTTGAAATTTGAATGTGCAAATTTAAATTGAAATAGGAATTAAGAACCAGTCTTTTTTTAAAAGAAAGATTACATTTCTTTAATCCAGATTTTCTCAACCGTGGCAACTTTTAAGATGTGTGACTATCTGGGAAATACTGGAATTCAAGTCCACACATCTTAAGGTCACAAAGAGTGAGAAACACTTCTTTAATTAAATGACACTTCAAAGAAAATTTTTACTCTTTGTCACTACATAAGTCACTACATAAGCCATTCTGAGTCTCTGAAGTGTGCAGTGAGAATTCTTCTGTGTTGGAAAAGTTCTGAATTCTCCATATTGCTACAGACGATAATGTTTGACTTGAGTAATTGTGCCATATATACTGTGTGAAAGGGTTATTATATTCCTAGTCTGTAACATACATTTTATGTTGTCCATGTATATAGGCCAATGTGTTCACAAGAAGTTAGCTTCATATGACTCACTGTGACTTTTATTTTCCAGGATAGAAATTCCATTCAAATTCCACATGCTACATTCAGGATTAGTCCATGGATTGGCTTTCTGGTTTGATGTAGCCTTCATTGGTTCAGTGTAAGTGAGGACAAAGATGTGCTTTCCTACCATCAGATGTTAATTGTTATTACAATCTTGTACAACATTAATTTGAACATGCCAGATTACAATAGCAACTGTAAATGGCAATTATATTTTGTGTCCTATGGCTAAATATGTGAAAAATAAAGAAAAGAAAGAAAATGTGCATCTCTACATTTTCTTTCCTATTGTTCATATTTGGAAATGCAGTTTCCTAGTCTAACATTATTTATCTCAAGACTGATTAAAGAGGGTAGTTAATTCTAAAGTTGTGTTATTTGATCCTGAATTTATCGTGTTTTCCTGAAAATAAGACCTATCCTGAAAAGAAGCCCTATCTTGATTTTTACATGTGGGGCCAATATAAGCCTGCTCCCCAAAAAAGCCCTAGTTAAGATAACCCCGCCTACTCCAGGGTGCATGGGGTGGGACGAGGCACGTGGCTAAAAATCAAGCTGGGTGGGATGGGGTGGAGGTGCCTTAGCGGTACTTACCTTCAGATGGTTGCAGCAAGGCCTCACACACTCAGACACCTGCCTCGCCTTGCCGGTCCACTTCTTTTGCAGCCACTTGCTGCCACTTGTGTGTGTCGCCCCCCAGTCTCTGTTTCATTGTTAGAGGCCTATAGGAAAGGCCTCTACAGCTGAGAAATTGGCTCTGGATTGACGTGCACAGCACCCCCTGACCTCGTTTCATCATAAGAGGCCTTTCCTGAAGGGCTCTGACAGCGAAACGGAGGCTGGGGTTGACACACGCAAGCGGCAACAAGCATTCGCAGAAGAAGTGGCCCCTGGCAGCAGGCTCTTGCTGGGTGGGGCTGTTAGTGCTGCTGCTACAAGGTAAGTCAGTGGAAGACATTCTTCGAAAATGAGACCTGGTGCCTTTTTGGATGGCAAAAAAATATAAGACTGGGTCTTATTTTGGGGGAAACATGTAAGTTGCATATGAACTTCTAATGTATATTATATTGGCTTGCACAAACCAATCGTGCAGCTGAATCTGTTTTTAAAACTACAATAAATATTTCAAAGATGGACTGTAGATTGATGAAGTTTCTACTCTTGATTTTTGTCTCTGTCCTTCTATTAGAATGACTGTTTGGCTTTCAACTGCTCCCACAGAACCTCTTACCCACTGGTACCAAGTTCGGTGCCTGTTTCAGTCTCCGCTTTTTGCTAAGGCTGGTGACACCCTCTCAGGGACATGCCTCCTTATTGCCAACAAGAGGTAAGATGCGTAGAATCATCTTGAGAAAAGGGGGAAATGTCCTCAAAGTAATTTGTCAAAGTTTTCTATGACTGAGAGTCTAATGCAAATATGTCAAATTCAAGGCCAGTGGGCCAGATCCCGCCCATTATGTGTTTAGATCTGGCCCATAAGCAGACTAGGAGGAGGAGGTGATTGAGTAATTACCTTATTGGGCTTCTTTGGGTGTCTTGTCAGTGGCAGCAGCACTAGCAGAGGACAGGCAGTGGGAGCTTCTCCAATGTGTGGAGCTATGCAGCAGCAGTAACCGTATTGGGTGGGCAGGCACAGAATGTGACAATTCACAGAGACCAGGTGGGCGTGGTTTAGTAGGCATTGCTGGGTGGTCACAACTGAGTCACAACTACTAGATGGGCATGGCTGGCATGACATGGACTGCTCAATTCTGCTCACTGGGCGTGGCTGACTCGGGACAGAATAAGTTGTACTGGCTAAGTCAACATTGGGACAACTCAGTGCCCCACAAGCTCATCCCCTCCCCAAATTGCTGGCAGCCAAGCATGCGCACGCACACAAACACTGCATTCCACGTTTGAGATTTTATCCACAGAG